TAAGCCTTCAGGGAAAAAAACAGGATTTCAATAGCACAGACACCATTTCACGAGATAAACATGCCTTCCCCAAGGAGCACTAAGCACAAGTAGGAGAAGGGAGCTGTCCAGTTACACATGCTTTTCTCCCTGTGTTCATATTGCCAAGCTTCGTTCTAGAATTTAAAGTATTTTTGTGCAACAAATCCCCTAATGCAAGCCAACCTCTTCATCTGGTGCTCAACTAAAGAAATTTATTTTTAAAGTTTCTGAAGGAAAAACTAGCTATTCTGCACTTCTGGGAGATGGAATGAATGTATAATACAATCCATGAACATTTTAAGGGATTTTTAGGGGTTATTTTCACTAAAATCTACTTTGTCATGAGTGCCAACCTCACAACCTAACTCCATCTGAACATGCAATTCCAACATAAATGTACTCTATTTCATTATTTACAGCAAGAACATAACACACTTCAAGGACTTCTTTATAAAAGCTATATTCAGAAACATTCCTTAAACTTTCTACATCAACTCCATACCTTTCTTTTTAGTTACTCCGGAATTCCCCAATCTGTACTTTTTTCTCTGGATTATTATTTAACCTGATCTAGCCCAACTTCTATGTTCTCCTACTCATAGAGTAAGAGTGAAAAGAAACTCAGAAATCAGTGTATTCCTCCCTCCAAGCTCATAGAGCTGCTGGCTGGAGACTCCAGTGAGTTCCATGTAACAATAAATTCCTTATCCTCTAACTAATATGAATTTCTACAGAAAGGTAATATTTAATTGTACAGAGAAGTTAAGAAAAAAGTTCAGAAAAGACACTTATAAAGCGCAAAACGCAGTGAAACAAAGCATCTCTGGCATTTAGAATCCTCGATACTAAGTTCTGAATACTAGTGAGTAGAAGAAGAGTTTGTTTTGTTTTTTGTTTTGTTTTTTAAAGATTTTTATTTATTTGACAGAGACACAGCGAGAGAGGGAACACAAGCAGGGGGGAGTGGGAGAGGGAGAAGCAGGCTTCCTGCCGAGCCAGGGAGTCTGATGTGGGATCAATCCTAGGACCCTGGGACCATGACCCGAGCTGAAGGCAGATGCTTAGCGACTGAGCCACCTAGGCGCCCCCAGAAGACCAGTCTTAATATTTCTTGATCTCCTGGGCGCCTGGGTGGCTGGCTCAGTTAGTTAAGCGACTGCCTTCAGCTCAGGTCATGATCCTGGAGTCCCAGGATCGAGTCCCACATCGGGCTCCCTGCTCGGCAGGGAGTCTGCTTCTCCCTCTAACCCTCTTCCCTCTCGTGCTCTCTCTCATTCTCTCTCTCTCAAATAAATAAAATCTTTAAAAAAAAATATTTCTTGATCTCCAGAACATAAGGGAATCCCATAAAATTGGGCCTCTTCCTTAAAAAATTTTTGAATACAATTAGTTTATAAATTTATTCTCTGATGTCTTATTTTTATAATCTTTATCCCTTATGTTTTACATATTAACTCTTTGAAATAAAAAAACACTAAAAAAATAAAATAAAAAACACTACACAGGTTTGAAAAAATTTTTTAAGAAAAACTACAATAAGTTTTTCAAGTTCGATTTCAAGCTTTCAACCTGGATTTTTTAAAATGGCCAAAATAACAATTTTTCATTTTTAGAATGAGGTATAAACATTGAGGGCACCAATCTTGAGATAATTTGTCTAATACCAGCCTAAACTAAGTCACAGACGCAGAAAGTTTTCTGTGACATCAGGATGTAATTCCCTAAAACCCACTTTCTTCATAGCATACACTCTATTTTTTTAAAAGGTTAGTGCAGAATGACAGATGAATTTTACACTTAGATTTAAAGGAGGCCTTTCAGATCTTTGAATCAAACTCATGAATCAAAGAATCATGATTTAATGACCTTAACTGAAGTACAAAAGTTCTTTACAAAAGTTCCTTATAAAATTCTTTAGCTTGCTTAATTAAAGTGCCTATGTCTGAGCTGACCACTATACCTTCAGGGTAAGGCTGACCTTCAGGGGTCAAACCCAGGGGTTGTGTCATAACTTTTTTTTTTTAATCACAGAATCTAACGAAAGCTAAAAAGCCTCTTCTCAAAAAATTCCATATATGTACATACATACAAAATTCTATTTATTTTATTTTTTAAATATTTAAGTAATCTCTACACCCAATGTGGAACTCTGAACTGATGACCTTGAGATCAAGAATCACACACTCTTCAGACTGAGCCAGCCAAGTGCCCCACATACAAAATTTTAATACAATCTTTAAGGGAGGAGGCACCAGAGAATCTATCAATCCACAGGAAATATGGTTATCACTGATTACATAGCAAGAAAGCCTTAAAACTTAATGCTTTTGGTTTTCATAGATTCTGATCTGAACAAGGTACCAGAGAGGCATTTGGAGTCTGAAGACATTGGTCAAAGCTGTGATACCTTCTGTTCCCAAAGTACCATAACTGTCCCAAGGCCACAGTAGCCAGGTTCTGCCAATTGTCCATTCCTGCTCTGCAATCCCAAGACACAAGACCCACTGCTATCTCCACCTCTAATCATCTAGATCCTGCAAGCTGCTTGGATCTACTGTTGTTGCTGACAAGTAGCCACCCAGTCCACCCTTTAATACCTTCAGTGACACAACTCAGTGTTTCAAAAGGGCAGGCCACTGCAGTTTTAGGCACCTTTCAAGAACTGTAAAGTTCCCTTCTAATTTGACTAACCAGGTTTGTAAACTTTAAGCGCTAACCTACTAAATTTCTCCTCTTTTCACTTATCAATAGGTAACAAATGAGCTTACCATTCAAAGTATCTAATCCTAAAACCAGAAGCAAAAAATCATTTAGCTCTACATGCACCAAACAGAGAAGTCAGAATAATGATGAAAAGCACTTTCTATTTGGAAGTCAAAATATAAGAGATCAGTACTGGTTCAGTTCAAGAAAAATGCAAGGTTTCCACATGCCCAGTTTGTTGGGCTTCTTTTCACCACATAAAAAAATTAAAAATGTATCAACATTAAAAGATTCAGATTACAGTCACTTAAAATTAACATCAGTTCTGTCTGCAAATAGTTTATTCTCTATATTTCTATTTATGTCTGTGATTCTGTAATAAACAGTTCTAATCAATGCAATATAAATATAGAAGCCATTACTTATTCATCAGATAAAAAAGACTGGCTTTCAAGAAACTATTAAATTGGGCACCTGGGTGGCTCAGATGGTTGAGCGTCTGCCTTCGGCTCAGGTCATGATCCCAGGGTCCTGGGATCGAGTCCCGCATCGGGCTCCCTGCTCCTTGGGAGCCTGCCTCTCCCTCTGCTTCTCTCTCTCTCTCCCTCTCTCTCTCTCCCTCTGTCTCTCATGAATAAATAAATAAAATCTTAAAAAAAAAAAAAAGAAACTATTAAATTGTCTCAGTCACCTTCACCAGCTCCTTTTTCACAATAAGAAATATCTTATTGAAACCAGTGTATTAATAAGGTCCATTTATCATATATAAGCAACTTGTGATGCAAATGCTTGTTTCCTCTGAAAACAAAGGAAACACTAAAAATTATTTTTTCCTTAAATGATCCCACACTAATGCTGGACAAAAAGATTCACAGATATTTTACAGTGATTGATGTAGTCTTATCAGGTAAGAACAATGTTAACCATCAGTTAATTGGATTAAACAATACAGCAAAATCTCATTTTCAAAGGACTACCCAGGGGGGCTTGCTTTCCTGGGCCAAGTCTTAGAGAGCCAAACAATGCACAGCCCTAAGGAAGAGTCTACCTTGTAAGGGCCTTCTTTTTGGTCCTTCAATAATTAAACTTCCTGCAGAGATACAAAGATCCACCTAAATGAATTCTGCCTTATTTTGCAAATACCATTGGGGTACTAGTTCCATAGATTTATATGGTAGGTATACAACAATCCCTTGGTTAAGAAACACACTTCCTGATAAACAAACACTTCTCTACTTTTCCAGACTAGCTTCAAGAATGAATGCTGTTTCAAAAAGACAAAAAAAAAAAAAAAAAAAAAGGCAGTGCCACACATCACCTTACCAGAACTGCATGACATAAAAAAGGCATGTTAAGCTCGGGAAGACACACCTCTGAGCATTTCTGGGATAAAATCTACAGAATCATTTTAGTTATTTCTTAAAACTGAAAATTATTTAATGCATCACAACCAAAATACGTACTACATAATTTTCTTACAGTCCGTATTGTTGGATACCCTATTATTTAAAATTAAGTCAGTTTTAAATCAACGCAGTATATATTTGTACCCAAGCGAATACGATGAATCTCGATTTAGTTTAATTATGCCTGTTTTTTAGCACAAAATTCTTTCATGAGCTTAATATACAATTGAACACTCGAAATAGCTTATTTAAAGCACAGACTACTAGATAGTCAAACACTGCCCCACCCCTCGTTAAGAGTGGATGACTGGAACATTTTAATACACTCCATCACGTAGTAGCACAGCTAAAGAACCTTCATATTGGCGCCAGAAGTTGCATCTTTTCCGGTGCAATTTATACTTTAAAAAATTTTTGCATCATCCTCAATACCAGATGTCACCGACATTCAGGTACACTGAAGATAAGTAATTGATAACCACAAGCCCTGTAATTTCCCCCCTCTCCAAATAAACGCGCACTTTTCTCATTTCTTCTAACGTGAAATCGCTGAATGTAAAGAAATAAGGCGTTCTCGCCAGTAACTACGCAATTTTTATTAATTGGGAGGCTGGAATCACCACATTAAGAAAATTTCAAACTAACAACGCAAAACAAGATACAAAGGTGAGAAAGTCTTTTTGCTTAAGTACTGAAAGATCTTACAATTTTGAAAAGTATTTGCGGGATGCCAAGCAAGATTTCCAAAACCCACCCCTCCCCCAGCCGCAAGGCGCCCCCGCCCCCACCCCCCCCCACGTCCCGGCCTCAGCCGCCGCCTGTCTGGAGGTCGTTATCTAGACGCGGCTGAAGGGCTGAGATGCTACTCACCAAGTTTTTCCACCAACTTGAGCATCACCCCTCCAATGTGCACCTCCCCGGTCACTCTTAGGGTGACATCGCGGTTCAGGTCCGTCACATGAACACTCAGTTCCCACGTCCCATCCGCGTAGCAGCCATCTGGCATCCTTATCCCGTCCAGAGCCATGGCTCCTTCCTGCGAGCACGGAGGAAATGGCTCTCGTAAGCGTCACTCCCCCAAAGGAAGGCAAATCCCACCGTATTCGCAGAGTCGACCGCGGAGCGGGAGAAGGTGGAGGACCCGAGGGTTTCCGCACGAACTCGGGAGAGCAGCGGCGGTGCGGGATTCCGCTCCCCGCGCCCTTCCCGGCGGCCGCCCAGCACTCCCCTGCCTGCGGCAGCCCTCGGCGGACACGGCGCCGCCCGTCCGCCCCGCGCGGCCCCAGCCTAGCGGCCCTCGCCTAGCGGACCGCGGCGGGCTTCACCTGCCGGCCTGCAGACCGCACCCCGGCCCGGGAAGACGCCGCCCGCGGGCTTCACATTCCTCCTCTCCGCCCGCGCTCCCCCTCAGGTCCCAGCCGGGATCCCGGCCCCTCACCGCAGGCTCCTCGCGCTCGCGGCCAGGGATTCGCGCCGCAACAGGCGCGGGGGCGGCGGCTCGTGGGGCGGCTGCGTCCGGTCCCCCTCCTCAGCCGGCGAAGCGCTGCCTCCCGGCTGGAGCGACTAATGGAGTCCTGTCGTCGCGGCCCCTTCGCCTCTCTCCCAGCGCTCCACCCCTCTCTCCCCGCCCCCTCAGTCGGAGTCCGGCTCTGGCAGGGCGCGCCTGCTCCCTCCTCCTCCGCCCCGCCGAGCCGCCCGGAGCGGGTCGGGCCGCCTCACCCACGTCCCTCACTGTCCCCCCGCGGCCGCGCTGCGGGCTGGGGGCCGCGCGCACTCCCGGGCTGGGGGCGGGGCGGCGCGCGCGGCAGGGGTGGGAGCTGTTGGGGGGAGGCGGGGGGCGCCCGCTGCGCAGCAATCTCAGCCCCGCCGAGCCGCTGCCCTTTTATGGAAATGAAGGACCGGGCGTAGGGATTGAATCCAACATCCGGGCTTTCGGCGGCGGGACCTGAGGAGGGGGAGCGAGGGGAGCTAGGGGAGCGCGGGCGGCCTCCCGCGGGGGCGTGGGTGGGCCGCCGGGCGCTGCGTTTTGTGGTCGTGTCTTCGACTTTGCCGGAGCGCGTCGCGGGTGTCTGCGCTTCCAGCGGGAGAAGGGGGCTTGTCCGTGAGAAACGGCCACAGGAAATTCCCAGGGCAAGGTCGTTTTCAGGGAACAAAGTCCCCCGCCCCCTCCCCACGCCTGGAGCAAGTCCAGAGTCTCGGGGCGGGAAGAGGTGCCACACTGCGGGAGCTGGAGAGAGGGGTTTGGGACGTAAAAACTTTAGAAAGTAAATGCCCAGGGCAGCTCCATGAAACATCCCACAAAAGAATGAAAAAACCCAGAGGGAGGCGAACCACAAAAATTGCTTTGTAAGCAATGTCCGGCACAACCAGCAACTCCTACTGGGCTCCCAAGAGTTTGCTTGCGCTCTTAACCCGTTCGGAAGCTCTCAACCAGAAGCAAGTCAAATACACCCTACGATGCTCTTGTTTGGGGCGGGGGGGGGGGGGGAATGCAGTGCAATGAGTTTTACTCAGAAACTGTTTCTTCAGCCGCTCCAGTTCTTTGTGTATTTTTATATGCAACTTAGAACTAACAGTCTACTAAGGCTTTCAGATGGCTAAACATCCTCTACCCCACCCTCAGCCACACCTTGAAAGAATTTTAATAGTTCTGGAATGGTGCCAACAGGTACCGAGAAGAACTAAAGAACTCTACTTGTTGAGACTGACTAGTGATAGAAATGGTCCTCCTGCTTCCCACCTCATTTCCACTTCACCCATTTACTGTTGCACTCAATTCAGAAACAGCCAGGGAACCTGCCTCGCTGGCAAACACATGACTCAAAAAGTTTGGGTCAGAAAGACTCAGATATCTCAGGTCCCATAAAAGACCCCAGTTTTTAAAGTCTCAGTGTTCTTGAACTGTGTCAATTACTTTGAAAAGGAAACTAACTGGGCAAATAAACCTTAGTTCATCAACGCAGTTGGGAAACGAGGTTAGAGGCCTCAAGAAAGGGGTGGGACCCGTAAAAGAGTGAAAGGAAAGCAGCGAAATTCAGATGCCAGAGGTCTGGCACAAAAAATAGGGAAAACCACTACAGTATTTTCAGCTAGTCATCATGGAGAAACTGATGCCTCAAGTCTGTCGTCTCTCCACTCTCCAATTATTTCTACTCATGGAGGTTCCAGATAGTTCTCTTAGAAGCAGTATGAATGTCCAGAGGGGAGGGAATATTTGTGTAAATTATGGTGCTGAAAATATATAGGAAAACGATCTTAATAAAATAGGGAATTGCTTGTTAGGGTAAAAAGCTGTTCAAAACTGTACATGTGGCTGTAACATCACAAGCTTATCCTCAAATATTCAGAGGAAAAAAGACTGGAAGGAAATACTCTAAAATGATAAGCTGTCCTGGTGTTGAGATCATGGGAGATTTTTTTCCTTCTTCATTTTCTACAAACTCCAAAGCTTTGCATTCAGGACTCTTCTGTCACCACCTTAAATTTCATCCAGCATCTCAATTTCTCTATGCATGCCATCACATTCACAATGATGGACACAGCTGATGGAGAAGCTGCTGGACTCCGTGGCAGGATTTTCAGGGGTTTCTTTTTGTCAAAGTTTCTTAATATCCCCCAAATAAAACATGAGTTCTTTGAGAGCAGGGACTTAAATTCTTTGCATTGCCCACAAATTTACAAATAGCTTGAAACAAAGAAAATGGAAAACACGCTGGTACCCAATCAATACAAATGTCAAAGAAACAGTAGGTCAGGAAGAAATCTCATTACTAGGGAAATCCTGGCTTTTAAATTTTATGTGTTTGTTATTTCCACATCTTATCTCAAAAAGATTTGTGGCAATGTATAAGGATGCATAGGCTATGAGATAGCATACATTATAAGTGGCACAAAATTAGGGGCAGGGGAAGGCAGGAAAGGGAAGGACAGAGATTTAAAATGGAGCCAGGAATGAGCATTGTACCTTAATGACCTTTGCAAGTGTTCCAGTAAGTTCCGAATAACTCCTGCTTCTCAAATATGACTCTATAGAACCAAAAATATCCATGTCCTTTCTGAATATTCCCCTTCCTTCAGACAAATTTGTCGAAGCTAACTGTCATGTCTCAGAAACCCTTTTAACACTCAGTTTCCACATTCTAGTTCTTTTCTCACTTTCCAGTGAGTACTTTCTGAACAACCTCCCACCACAGTGCCTACTGCGCTGACTACTGCGCACTTCTTGAATGTTCCCTACATTTAGCGACAGAGGGGGATGGTTAATATTGTAAATAACAGCCCCAGTTCTCAACATTTGAAATAGCTTAGTTCTAGCATGACAAGAGACTTTCCTATCTTTAGAAAATCAGCAGTTTATGTTTGAGCAGTATAGCGCCCGGGAGGGCAGTGACCCTCTGTTAAGTACCATTGGAGGAATAATTAGATCAGGTTGGGTGCAGCTGGTCCCTTCGGCCTTCTTTTTGAGTATTTCAAGCTGGTGCTTGTTTTGAAGATGAAAGGAGAGTCAGACTCCAATTGCTGGAACGGATTTTTTTTTTTCCTGTTTATCAAGTGATTGGCTTTCAAGTGCATTTCTTAAATGTTTACTTCTACCTAATGTTTTTCAGTATATTCAGATGTGGAATCTTATCTGAAATCCCCCACTAGAACCTCGAAGACAATGCAATACTTGTGGTACTGACATCATGCTGAAAAGTAGCCGAGAACTCCAGTGTTTGGAAGAACAGCCCAAGCACTGAAAGCAGCAATATCCAAATAAGGTACCAAGCACTAGTCTTAGATTTAGACCAAATGATACCTCGCAGATCTGCCGTCAAATGCAGCCCTTGGGCTGGGTAATCCACAGGTTGACTTCAGCTTTTTCTCTGAGCCTACCTAAGCTGTGCTTTTATATTTCTAAAAGGTTAATACAAAATATACCCACTGGGTTTGAGAGAAAGAGATGCTGGGTGATAGGAAAAAATACGGTTTGTGTGAGTGTGAATGTGTACGGGTGGCTAAAAATGCACTTAAAGCCACCATATGAGGCCAGCAAGATGAAATGTAATGAATTATTCCTGTCAAATACCAGGTGAGCAGAATTCTTTGTCCCAGGGATTGCCAAAAATGGAACATACTGGTAAAGCTACTAAGGAGGTAGAAATCAAGGCGCATGGAGTGTGGAAGAATGGGAAGGAAAGTTGCAGGGGCCGCTGTTTTTGTAGAAGTGGTAGTCACTGCAAGCGGCAAGAAAAGGACTGGCAAACCTAGAAACAGGGCGGATTTGCTGGGGGTGGTGACGTTTCGACACAGACCTAAAGAAGGGCTCTGGGATAGCAATGAAATCTATTTCGAGGGGAAAGAAATGCGCTGCTTGTATTTGCCGCTCCAGAGTATAGAGAATTTTTTGCAGGAAACCACTCTGGGGGATACTTTAAAAACTCTTTTCTTTGATTTAATTTTGAACATCATGTCCTCTTGTGAGATAGTCTGTCCCTGACAAAAATATGAAGGGTTCACACATAGGCTCACACAAACAAGGTAGCTAGCTAATTGTGTGCTTAGTACAGTGCAGGGCACAGAGGCAGACATGTAGATGTATAACACGACACAAGGTCTTAAAGGAACATCTATCTGATGTAGGAGGCTTATATTTAAAACATCATAAAGGATATCCACGCGCAAAAAGAATAAATTGGGCCCCTACCTTACACTGAATACAAAAATTAACTCAAAATGGATTACAGACCTAAATTTAAGATCTGAACTCTAAAATTCTCAGAAGAAAGCATAGGAGTAAATCTTTGTAACCTTGGATTAGGCAATAGCTTCTTAGATAAGACATCAAAGCAAAAGCAACAGAAGAAAAACTAAATTCAACTTTATCAAAATAAAAAATACCTAAATTTCAAAAGACAATGAAAAATGTGAAAAAATAACCCACAGAATGGGAAAAAATATTTGTAAATCATATATCTTTTAAGGGACTTATATCTAGAATATATAAAGCTATTATAAATCAACAATAAGACATGATTAAATGAGCAAATAATCTGAATAGGCAGTTCTCCAAAGAAGATATACAAATGGTCAATGAGCACATGATTTTTCCATCTTTTCCATCTTTTGCCTTTTTCATCCATTAAAATTTATGTACAAGTATTTAAAGAAATGATTCATTAAAAAAAGTCAGAAGGGAGAAAAACTATCACTGTAACATCTAAACCATGAAGTACAAACCCACTAGGAGGACTGTGATAACCTAACCTCCAAAAGAAGGTCATCAGGGAAGTCATAGAACATCTTTATGAAGAAGCTAAATCTAACTGGATCTGAAGAATGGAGTTAGGCCTATCAAGAGGAGTAGTATGTGAAATCACGAGGCAGAAGTGAGCGTGGCATGCTCACCACTATGGAGAAGAAAGGAAGAAATGCCCAGAAGATGCTCTGAGGAAGAGTGGGCATAGAGTGAGGCCAGAGTAGGTAGGACAGAAGTTTGGATTCTGAGACAGAAAATGGGAGCCATTAAAAAGTTGGTACATGGTAGTAATATCATGAAAGCAACGTTCAAGATTAACCCAGTAAAAATAATGCATGATGGATTGGAAGAGCTAGGGACTAGAATCCAGAAGGCTGGTTTGGAATCTGCTCCTAACTTTGGTGTAAGAAAAGTAATAGGAATTGAGGGG